TACCACTGACACCCCAATGGTTTTGTACCATAACAATACTTTTGAAATGCGGTGAATATACACAAATCACGTTAAGTTCGTAAACATAGTGTATAGTTACCATTTTTGAGAAATGCATTCTCTGACACGTGTGTAAATTTGCCCTTATTTCTGTGAGTGCAGGTACAGACCTCCACTGTTGTGGGGAGCCAGTGGTCATATCCAGAGGGGTTAAATTGTGGGAGGTCCTTTTCTAGGGGTTAAATTGTGTGAGGTCCTTTTCTAGGTGTTAAATTGTGTGAGGTCCTTTTCTAGGTGTTAAATTGTGTGAGGTCCTTTTCTAGGGGTTAAATTGTGTGAGGTCCTTTTCTAGGTGTTAAATTGTGTGAGGTCCTTTTCTAGTGGTTAAATTGTGTGAGGTCCTTTTCTAGGGGTTAAATTGTGTGAGGACCTTTTCTAGGGGTTAAATTGTGTGAAGTCCTTTCCTAGTGGTTAAATTGCGTGCAAGAGCAGTCTCGTGTTAAAGTGGTGTCCTATATTCAGTGTGTCAGAGTGTCCTTAGAGAGGGGTCGACACTAGTGGTTTTGAGTGTGATTCAATAACTAAATCAATCCGTGTGTTGTGTTGTCTTTATTGTGGCACTGCGTTCTGTCTCCAAATGCATATACAAGCATATGATGCATAATAATACCATTTCTTAATGTATTGTGTATAAACAAGCATAGGCTATTACCAGTTACATCTTCCTGTGTGCTTCTGCCTTGGTTTCCTAAAGGTGGTACATAAAAAATATCTATACCAACACTGCAATTTGAAATGGTACAATTGGTGTCATAATGTGATGGTAGTCTGCACTTCCTTCCTGTAGTGCCGCTGTATGTAATTATGTGAGAGGTAGACTAGATGCATTATGTATCAGTAGTTGTTGCCAGGGCCCAGAGTGCCACATGGGATACGTTGGCACGGTTGTGTTGTAATGGTTGAGTGAACATAGGTTCCGTAGATGCAGCCCCCGTTTATGTCCGACACGCTGGCTAACAGAGTTATCTGTATGTCCCATATAGAAAGTATGGAGGTTCCAGTGGCCACAGTGAATGCAATCTAGCGTGTGTGTGTGTAATACCCAAGCCATGGTGGGCAGTGAGCAGGCTCTGTTCAAACAATCGACCTACAACTTCACAGTAGGTTTCACGCACCTCGTAGCAGCGTGTAGAAGCGCGTTATCCTGACACATGAAACAAGGATTAAACTCTAAGTACAAATATTTGTCCCTTGTACAAATGTTAAGTGATTGCTGAGCATAAGCTGGTAGTTGACCTTACTTTTAGAGTCTGCAAAGTATGTACCTGTTTGTGTGTTGATCATGTCTGAGGGGGCAGGATTAAACTCTATATGTACCCCTTGTACAAATGTTAAGTGATTGCTGAGCATAAGCTGGTAGTTGACCTTACTTTTAGAGTCTGCAAAGTATGTACCTGTTTGTGTGTTGATCATGTCTGAGGGGCAGGATTAAACTCTATATGTACCCCTTGTACAAATGTTAAGTAATTATTAAGCTAATACTACCAAAAAATACCTGTAAATCCCCCCCCCCCTCATATCACCAAAAGACATACAGGACTCCAAGGGGTGGAGTGGTCTCGCCTCATTTGGGAGTGTACTGTGTGTCGAGAGTATAAAGAGGCCGAAACACGCAGTGCATGATGAACAATGAGGAACTCTCCTGATGACCAGTTTGGTTGTCTTTTAGCATGGTTATGTATACCCAGATTCAGGAAAGAACTAAATAACGAAAAAAACCGTTGGCTTTGCATTTCTTAACGCTCACACGAGTGCGGACAAAAGACCGCCCAACTGAGTTTATCACTCCTCCTTTAAATCTCTCACAGAACATCGTCGCAGTAGCTGCTGGGTTTGTGGATGGACTAAAGTAAGCATCATTCCTATACTCAATCAAACCCTCACTTTAGCTATATACACACAATTCTTTCACTTCCTTACAGTTGTAGCTTTTATTGCTGGCAAGTGAAGCTAGCCTACCTAGCTAGTCGTCTGAATGTGAGATATGTTGTATCACACACTGCCACTGCACATACAGTAATGTTCCACGTGACGCTCAAAAAAGTGAACGTCATTCTTTCTTAGCACGTGCGATAAATTGCACTGCTCGCACTCACTCACCACAATAATGTTTCATTTGTTCTATATCTATATATCACTAGTAAATTACGGAGGAACGGTTCTATTTTCTATTGGTAGGTATGGTGCCAGTACCAAGAGTGCAGTCATAAGAATAGGACTCCAGGAGATGTGGAGATTCATCTCTTCCTACTATAAGGTCCTCTTTCTCTCATTTTTCAATACTAGTGATATGGGAAATATATTGACTCCCACTTACTTGCCATGTAGTTAGAAGATTGATGGAGAAACTGACTACCTAGTGTTAGAAAAAATATAATTTACCTTTGATAAGGAAACAGTTGTTTAATAATATCAAAAACATCCTTTATTCAGAGGTGTCACTAATGTTATGGGGCAGAGAACCAAGTGCCCTTTATAGAGAGGTGTCCTTTATTCAGAGGTGTCACTAATGTATTAGTATGGGGCAGAACCAAGTGTTCTTTATAGAGAGGTGTCCTTTATTCTGAGGGTCCTTTTTCTGAGGTTTCATTGTTACTTTCCATTTAGAACACACCAAGCAGTAGTAGAAATCTCTCCTCCCTCCCCATCTCTCAGGATTGTCAGTACACCACCCTGCTGGAGAGCTGTGGCATCGCTGATCTCATGGCCACGTGTACAGCTGGTCGCAACAGGCGGGTGTGTGAGGCTTTTGTCACTACTGGCAAGGTGATTCTCTCCTTCCTCACTCCTTTCTCTTGACTCTCTCTTCTCTTTTCTTATCTCACTACCTTCTCTGTCACCCACTTCATACTTTGACATTTACTACACGACAACAGTCATTCAACCTTCTCTCACCTTCCTCGTCGCCCTTCCATCCCTACTCCTTCTCTCGCCTCCTATCCCTCTCCCTTCCCCTCCCCTTCCTCCCTCCCTCCCCTCCACATCAGCCAATAGAAGAGCTGGAAGCAGAGATGTTACAAGTCAGAAGCTGCAGGGCCCACTGACAGCTAAAGAGGTCCATGAGGTGCTAGTCAACGATGGCAAGGTTGAAGAGTAAGTCGTAGTAACTGCACAATGTTTGCATGTGTACTGAATGCAATTATGTAAGATTATGTAATCGCTGCCTGTGTTTCTTTAAAGTCATGCATGAACTACTTGTCATGTGACTTCAAATGTATGGGTATAATGGGTCGCATGGCCACATGTCTGTTAACAGTCAAACAGTCATGTATCGATGGACCCATCATACCCATACATTGAGTACAGCATCTGTAGTGCTAAGAACCTCTGCCACGTTCTTTACAATGTGGTTTAGCTCTAGAATTGAGCTGACTTGGTCACTATAAATACTGGAAAAGTTTGTCACCCGTTGCCGGCTTTGTTGAGTGGTTACTTCGCTTGTATGGTTACAAAACTGGTCTGTTCAACCGGTTCATCTGGGTTCAAATCCCGGACGATCCTCAAACCACTGACGCCGTCCGGCATTTTTTAACCTTTTCCCACTACCTCTCCATCTTTTGTCTCACCTTTTCCATGACACCATTTGTTCAGAGTGGGCGATATTAATATTAACGGTGTTTGCTGTTAATAATTGCCTTCCATTCCACATCCATGCATTCTTAATCATACTCAGATGGGTGTATATTCATAGTAAAATGCAGTAGTTACAACTGTCATTAATGTTGAAAACATTGTTCTAGACACATCTTCAAAGGAATGTGGCAGTATTATTCCATAAGGGCTGAATTAACTTAACCAACCCCTTGGACGCCCATGGGTATCTGCTTGCATACTGCAGAAATATAATGTATAAGTATTCGCGCCTAGTATGTATAACCCACTATATATAAATTCGTATGGACTTCTGGAGCTCTGGACACATTTTATGTGTCTGTGGCTGTTGAAGTGTTGAGACACAGTTACTAACTACACGCGCGGGGCCCCTATTTTTATTGAAATAATTATTCTAAATTTAGTCCTTATGTACAGCCACAACCTTGCACTATAGCCCCTATTAGTTTGTTGCGTCTTTAGTAACGTTACTAATTTTAGCCCGAAGATACTGCACCATTCCATGATTATTTTGTTGCTGCAGGTTTCCACTGATGGCTGCAGTACATATGATATGTACTGGCAGACAGACCCCCAAGGACCTGATTACAACGTTAGCCTCACTCTGACTTTATATATACACTTCAACCCTCTAGTCTATATCAGTAGCAGAGTGTTGCATAATGTACAGGGATCTCCCTATCACAGCAATATTATGGTATATAGAACCTCATATTATTATAGCTCACGCATTTCTATATAGCACTTGTTTATACTTTTATTAATACTACTTCATCTTCGGCAAGCTATTAATTGTAATACGTGCTTTTTTGTGCTAGCTGTGTAGGATAACTTTTCTTAGCGTGCAGAGTGGCATGTCATAAAAAATATATATAAAAACTGGTAAAAAAGCCTAAATGAAGGCATGTCATAAAAATCTTATTAAACTGTAAGACAGCCAGTATAATTATAATAAGTGAGGCTATTGTATATCAGCTACCCAGCAGACACGCACAAAGTGTCCAGTGGAGGGTTAGTACAATAGTGAACTAGACTGTTACATAGGCGAGAGGAGAGGGTGTGATACTAGATGTGTATTAGTCTAAAGATCTCTCCACAGACGTTCTTGAAATCCCACGTGTCCCCCTTCATCCTCTTGCGGCGCCTCATATTGTTATAGCTCATCAGTTCATTTGTAGCACTTGTCAAAAACTTCACTTCTGCACTATTAATGGTATATGAGGAAGTCCTCTCCATTCCCATACACTATACTGGTCTGTTTACATTCTGTAGATGGATGTAGTTAACCCTCGGCCCACATCTCTCTCTCTCTCTCTCTCTCTTTCTCTATCTCCTCAACACACCATTTGCTGTACTATGATTCAAGCTCTAGCCACTAGTTAAGTCAGCACGCCTCAGCTGGTAATAGAGTAACACTCACGCACACACACTGTTGAAATTACAGACACAAATTATGTGTGTCCCTCTCTGTAATGATATTTGCTATTGAGACGCTAGTTCATTCATCAATGGAGGCCCTTAGATGTAGCTGTCTGACACTTGTGAGTAAATAGATTACGGGTATGTGTTGAGTGATCATAATATGCCAGCTTAGTGCAAAACACAAGATAGTAAATGAAGGTGATACACATGAAAGCTGTGTGCGATGGATATGTATAATGGTGACCTTGTTCCTATATAGGCTTTTGAAAGACAATCACTTTGAAATGAGAGGCAAGTTGTACCATGCAGTTTGAGCCTATGTATCATTATACATAACTATGGGACCCTAATGGAGTGACTCAAAACAAGATTGGGTCACATGACTATCACACCATTATGCATGTTGACTACTGCATACTACAGCTCCTATAGTACTATATACATGCATACTATAGCTCATAGTGGTGGAATGCATTATGCTTGTGGACAAAACCACAGCAGTAACGAATATCGTTATTCGGAAGTGCCTTTGGACAGCTTTGCGCATCACAGTAAACATGTGCTCCAATAAGAAACATAATATTCCAAAAGTTATACTGCAGTATACAAAACACGGAGAAGAAAGTGAGTGTGGTATAGAGATGAGAAGAAAGTGAGTGTGGTATAGAGATGAGAAAAAGTGAGTGTGGTATAGAGATGAGAAGAAAGTGGCGGGTATAGAGATGAGAAGAAAGTGAGTGTGGTATAGAGATGGGAAGAAAGTGTGGTATAGAGATGTGGTGTACAAAACATGGGTGGTTACAATTTTGCGGCCTGGACTTTGTCAGCGAGAGCAAAAAGTTTGGTGTCTCTGAGAGCCTTGACCAGAGTCTCCCACGTCACGGGAAGTAGTCCCTTTCCTCTGAGCCACTCCCCCAGAATGCTGCGAGAAATCCTCTTTGGATTCCCGCGGTGTTGGTCCTCGATGATGTCCACTTTATCCCCCGTCTCGTCGTTGAGGAGGAAGATTCCAAATGTGGTGTAGCTTGTGGCAATTCCCTCGGGGATTTCCAGACGAAGTAGCTCTGGCAGAGTGGGTCGACAGACACCATCACCTGTGAAGACAGTGTGAGAGAGAGAGAGCAACGACTAAAGGTAAGAGTCAGTCAATACATCAGGGGTATATACACATATTATGGTGGTAGGGAAGACTGTTTCTAAAAGAGGCTCACCAGGAGTGGTGCTAGCAGTGGAGGAGAGAGGAATAGCAGCTGTGGCAGTAGTGGAGGAGGTGGAGGAACACTCGATGACTGAGTATAGAGAGAGACAGTAGAAGGACAAACAGTCAGCAATGCTCTTGAAGAGGGGACTCACCAGGACTGGAGGAGACAGGATGAGGAGCTGTGGAGACACTGGCAGTAGTGGAGGAGGTAGAGACAGATTGGCTGACTGTAGAGAGTAAAGTGTATGTGATAGCGGTTTGCATGTCCATATACATATATAGAGGACTCACCAGGAGTGTTGGTAGTGGTAGTGGAGACAGGAGGAGAGGACAGGGAGAGAGAGGGAACAGAGGCAGTAGTGGAGGAGACTGTGGAACACTCTGACACTGTAGAGGAACATGAATGAAAGAATGAGTATCAAAATAGGGCACATAGAGATGCAAGGACTCACCAGGAGTGTTGGTAGTAGTGGTGGCAGTGGTAGAGGAGGCAGGAGCTGTGGAGACAGAGAGGGGAGGCTGGGAGGTGGGGGGAACTGCAGAAGATGAAGAGGAGAGAGAGGACGTGGCTGACTCAGCAGCTGTAGGGGAAAAGAAAGAGAAAAGCATAATGAGACTGTTCCAATTAGAGCCCTCAGTGGGTGGACCTCCACACTCACAGGTAGACGTGCAGAGGGTCAGCCATGGAATAGAGTCCTCGTCAATGTCTCCAAACTTTCAGAGTTGACTGAGCATGCCCAGACGCCATCTGTCACGACTGCGGGGTGGGGTTTGGCTGGGCGGGGGTGGGCGGGGCATACGATGGCTGGGACTGGAGTGTTGTTTGTGTAGCCGATGGTCTTCCCTGCTTTCTTGAGACCTGCAAACACTGCGTCGTGTGCCAGTTTCCACAGCTGAGCTGCCTTCTTGGGGTGGGTGCATAGGTGGAGTTCAAAGTGGGTGAAGTGATCGATGAGTGAAACGGTGCCGACGTATTTGGGGATGGTGAATTTCATGACGTTGCGATGGAGGCATTCCGGAGCTCCTGCCTCGTTCTGAACCACTCTCCAGGGGCAGGGGTGACTGTTTTCGGGGGACAGGAGGTAAGCTACAGTGGAGCAGAACGTTCCCATCAGGGGACCGCTGTCGGGGAAGTGAAGAGCCAGGGCTTTCCCGCCACTCACTCGGTGTTCCTCCACCACCTTCCACGCCACCACTTGCAGCAGACACGGCATGAAGTACACGTCCTCCGACATCTCCGCAAACACCAGCAACCCCTTTAGCAGGGTCACCAGCTCCTTGGGTGTGAACAGAGGTGGCTCGTAGTGGCTCTCGAACTCCCCCAGAAACTTTTCCGTCACTTCGCCGTGGTCACGGAACCTCAGCTTCTCCCCCGACACGCCTTTCTTTCCCTGCCTCATGTGGTAGGTCTCCTCCACCAGCTCCGAGACCTTATCCAGCAACATCTGTGGCTCCATGAACACCAGCTGGGGCAGGATGTCGGGGAAGTAGAACAGCATGTTCAGACCGTCAAAGAAGTTCAGGGCTTCCCCACACGACTCGTCATCGATCTCCATCGACTCTGCCACCTTCTGGCACGTATCTCGAGGCAGCACCTTCTTCCCCAGTTCATTTGCCACCTCCAGCAGCTTCTGGTACAGAGCGTACCATCGCAACGGCACTTTCACCTCCCTTCCCCCCTCCCCCTCCTTACTAAGACACTCCCGAATGCTCTCCGCACACTCCCTGTCCTCCTTCTCCGGCTTTGCCGCATTCAGTGTGAAGACAAAGTCGTCCTGTTTCGTATCGCAGTAGATGAGCTGCTCCCTGAACTGAGGCAAGAGGATCTCCCTCAGCCTCTTGTGCAGAGTGTCCAGCACTCCGGGCAGCTGCTCGTCTGCCACCATGTCTCGGTGGGTGGCCAGAAACATCATTTTGGCGGGAGGGATGTCGGGGTTCTTGTTGTTCAGGGACCTCATGGTCCGCACGCACAGTCTCAGGGTCCCTTCGTTGGTCAGGTAGGCTGGGTACTCCCACACTAGCTTGCCGTCTTTGAAGTAACGGATCGTCGCTCGCTTGTCAAGAGACTCGTGGAGCTTCAAGACGTAGACGAATTTGGACGCACCCCTCAGGAAGACGGGCATCATCTCCAGAAGCTCGGGCTGGCCGCCAGAGTCCAGCACGAGGAACTGCTTCAGTCGCAGGATGGGCTCCAGGGAGGGAGGAGCACTGTTGATGAGATGTACAAACCCCTCGTCCACCGCACTCGACAGCAGCAGGGAATCCAGCCTCCCTTCTGCCTCCTGCCGCTCCCTGGCGCTGGGCTTCTCCTCCGAGGATGCTGTGCTCTTCCCGGCTGCTTCAGACGTGGAGCTACTCGTCTTCTCTGGAGTTGGCTGAGCTGACTGGCTGGCTGCGGTGTGGGGAGACTGCTGGTCGGGGGAGGCTGGGCCACCACTGCTCTGTGCCACTGACTGTTGCCGTGGCATTCGCGACCGCATTACTTCAGCGATGGCGTCTGGCAGTTGGTCTAATGTTCGTTTCTTCCACTGTTTTTTGCCGTCGACGTCCACGAACACGACCTCGATTGGTCTTTTCATGACTGGAGTGCTGTGTCGGATGGTGGGAGGGTCCACTCCGAGCAGTGCAGCGAGGGAGCACGTCTTGCCACTGCCAGCCGTGCCAAACAGCAGCATTTTGTCCAGGTCCAGCTCAATGTGGCCTCGTTTCATCTCCTGCTCGTAGATCTGCTTGGAGCGGAATCTTCCTGCATGGGAGTAAAGTGTACATGTTGAAGGGAGTGTCAACCAACCAAGAAAGTCCACTGTACCAGTGGGGAACAGCTGCTGCAGGTGATCCAATGCTCTGAGACTACTGCCGCCACCCTCGTCCCACTCAGTCATGTAGAGAGCCCATGCCACAAGAGTCCAGGATGGTGCTGGATGTGAGGAGATGAAGGAGTGAATGAGGGCCTGTTTGCACTCTCTGTCACTGGTACACTGTGCCTCGATCCTGTCCATCTCAGAGTCTGGTATGTTGGCATATCCACCAAACTCCTCCACAGACCGTCACTCATGATGTCTAGAACTGTGGAGAGGTTCTCTGGAGTGAGACTGGCCTCTGGGAACACAACAGGAGAGAGAAATTCTTGTGTAACAAGCTGCTGGTTGCTGACAACGCCAGGCAAGTCTTTCTGATTCATGCAAGTCACGATTGCCACCATAACGCATGAAACTGGGGTGCAACGTTAACGAACGGCGTTCCGTTCCGTATATACCATGCGCGGAGTATATACCGCGCGGAGTCGAAGTGCCGCTTTTCCTCGAAGAAAGCCAGCCTCGCTGGAACGCCTTCCGTTTTCTCAGACGCGTTTTCGTTCTCTAGGCCGCCTCCTCACGACAAGGAGAAGCCCTGGGAAGCGTTTTTTCAAAAGAGGGCGTAGCCCCAGATTGCTAAAGAACTCGAACGCTAACCGCTGCCGTCGAAGGCAGTCAGGCGCATAAACGACTCGGCCGCGTTGGACGGCACAGTCATGGGCGTATAAACGAAACGATATACGAGGAAAAGCTACATACCGCCGCGGAAAACGGCAAACAGAACAAAAGAACGGACCGCGCACAGATTCATACTGAAGGTCAAAGGTCAAAGGTCACGGTAACCACGGGAGAACATAGCTGTTGCTAGGGACGGCGAGGTTATGACGACACAGCGGACTGACCTGGTGAGACTGGCAGGAACTCCTTCACTGCCTGTAATGCCCTCTCCTCCTTCCTGTAGTACAGTGCTCCTGCAACTCTCTCCCAGGAGGCCATCGGGACATTGTGGAGGAAGTAGAGTAGGACCTTTGTTTTCTTCTCCTCCTCTGTCAGGGCAGGATCCTCCATGATCTCATCCAGCACAGGACGAGGAACACCAAGACCATAGTAATAGTCCCCCAGACCATACCAGTCCTGGACTGAAGAGGTGACGTGACGGAGGTTGTTGATAGTGAGTGTGGGGTCTGCACAGAGAGTAGGACATAACATGGCAATACACACATCAGTAACCACGCAGATACATCGTTTCCAAGACGACCACAACAACAAATAGCCTCAGGCACTTTTCTTTTCCTCACCTGTGACAGACTCCGCCAGATGTCGTATCTTATCTGCACCCTCTTTCTCTCCAATCCTATCAAGAACAACAATAACTCGTCTCCAGGAGGCTAGTGGGTCGTGGTCCATGAAGTAGGTGACATATTCCTCCACCTGTCGTCCCTCATCTCCTCTGAACTGACTCTGAATTTCCTCCGTCTCCTCTCAGGGACACCCAAACAGAGCCCCAGATCATCAGTCCTCCTCACGTTCCTGACAGCTCTCTGGACATTGTTTCTGGTGAACATCATATCTACACACCAGAGACAACCACACGACATTTAACCCTCTCTCTTTAACCCCTCAACTACTATGCTATCAAATTAACCCCTTGCCCACTACAACGCAGCAAAACAAAATTTAACCCCTTTCTCACGAAACAATTCTGTGGGCGGAAATTGTAGTTTTGCACTTCCTTATTTGGTTATGGGTATTTTTAGTTCAGAACCTATCTACTAAAAATAGTAGAAAGAAGTAGAGAATGGAATCAGCTCACATTTTTTGTCGTGAGGCGAGGGGCGAGGGGAGGCCATGGCTGGAGGAGCTAGCGGCCGTCAGTTCTGGCCACTCTCTCCGACTACCGACTCTCTCTCGCTACCTGACTACAGCCTACACTTTCTTGGAAGAGACGACACTACAACTAGCTACGTTACTGCTCGCCCTCAGCTCTGGACACACTCTACGACCTACACTGCGACAACACTCACAGCGTGCACTTTACTGTTAGAGACGACGGCCGACTACATTACTGGCCTCGGGCGACTGGCTAAACAACAAAATCTCCTTTCTTTTCTGCTCGAAAGCAGCACAACTAGCGCAGCTGCAAAAAAGACAAAATGAAGTTGTCAAGGAAGTAGGGCCGGTTTATGTAGCGTTGCTAACACGTCAAGTGACGTTTAGATGATTCAATGCGCATGCTCGTGTGAATGAGCGCGCGCACCCACGTGGCCGGCTAGCTATCAAAGGCGCGGTCGGTGGGGATCTCAGAGGTACGTAGAGGAGGAGAGGAGCGGGGTTAGGTGAGGAAGGAGAGTTATAGGACAAGAGTAAGTGACAAGGTAAGGGAGAGAAGGATAAGGACTGCCTGTATGGTCTCACCTTTTTCAATGTCAGAAGGTACTCACTGGATTTGTACCATGACAATACCAAAAAGCAACTTTTGAAATGAATATACACAAATCACGTTAGTTCGTAAACATAGTGTA